CATGAATATATATGGTGATGTTTGCAACAAACCATGGTTTATTGCCAATATGTTGGTATAACACTTACTTATTAAATTGGAACAGAGGGCTTCAGCAGTCTAACAATATCACATATTTATGTTTAGCATTCCTTTACAGCTAGAAAGCATATGCTTCTCAGCATAAAAAAACAGAACAGATATAGAGTGATATTGTTTGAAATGCTCTTTACCACACATTTATGTTATATTTTCCCCTCAACAGTGAGTCACAATGGTAGTACCAAATCTTGGCTGAACAAACATCGCTTTCCTTTGTCGGTGTAATATGAAACCAAAGGCTGTGGGTGATGACCGAAAAGGGGTTTTGTGGGTGAAAGATGAAAAAGGAACATTTGCATTCAGCTAACGTCTTTGTTGAATTGCCAGGGAGGCCCACAGTTCTGTGTCATGACTCACGTCCCCCCTATCCAGAACCAGCATAGCTCCGTGTCTACACCACTTTCCATTTCAAATCATCGCATCACACTGTGCTTGCATGTAAGCATATGCAAAATTGAACAGATTTTTCTTGCCAGGGGACACGAATCATTTTGATTTATCTGCCCCAATGTACTAGAAGCAGTCATTTGACAAATGCAAAACATCAAATGAAAATGGGCTTTTCTGAGATATTTTTTTGACAATGTAGCATCTGATAACATCTACACATTTCTCGACATGGATCTAGACAATAAGAAACCAATAAATGGATGATTGCTACCACCAATACCCCCAATTTTAGACTTCAGAAAGAGTATACTGCAGATTAAACCATTGTAAAGCAACCAAAAACAACTACAGGCACTTTCACATCCACAGAGGTAACACATAAATGTAACAATAATAAATGCAAATGTCTCTTTCTGGCAGAGTGAGTTTACCAGTGGTCCTTTTGGACTTGTTAAAAAGGATGTATTGAAATAGTTTCAGGTGGAATAGAGGATACAGATCTTAGAAATAATTCTCATTGGGATGACAGCGATACAGGAAAAAAGTCACCTGGGAGGTTTTGGCGCAGTAGTTAACGGCAGCATCTTCATTTTTTTACTTTAATTCCGAAGTTGAATGTCATTCATTAGGTGAAAGAAGAAGTTTCAAGTGTAAGCATGTGAAAACGGTAAAGTAATTACCGTGAGTTGGATAAGTGATTACCTGATTTTCTACCTCTCAAGCGGCAGTGGGCTACATGTTATTGCAGCGGTTAACACAATCTCCTTGCTTGCAAAAGGATTTCTTTTGCATTTCTTTGTGGACTTTCACCGTGTATGTATGTATTCCCTATGGTAATATGGCTTCCTCCCACAGTCCAAAAAACATGCAGGTTAACCGGTGATTCTAAATGAACTGAGTCTGAGTGGGCAGGGTTGTTTGTCTCATTAATCTTTGTGTGCCTGTGTGATGAACATGAGGCCTTTTGAGGGTGCACCCCACCTCTCCCTTGCAGATCTTAATTCTAAATTGGATTAATCAGGTATGGAAAATGGATTATATGTCAGTTACACACATGGCCGATCACATTACAAATCCTCTCTGTTCTCTTATTATTGACCTAGGGTTAAGATCTAAGTCAGTCTTCCTCCTATGCTAATTATTTCTTATTTTATTTTGTTTTGTCACTGCCATGCAGAGATAAATACCTTTGTTCACAAATCAAATTCTAAACTTAACTATGCATGGAACAACTTTTTCAGCTATACGCACACAGGAGACAGTTTTTTTTTTAAAAGTAGGATATTTATTGGCAGTATAAGTGTAAAAGCCTTCCTAGACATGAACAAAGTTAAGATTTTTTAATACTGTAAAAAAAAACAGCTGTAAAGTCCTAAACTTTTAAAGTCTATCTAATTATATGCTCTTGCTTTTGCTATGTCTTAATGTACCATGGTGTTTTTAATTATAATACTTTTATTTTAATACTGCTAGTTGCTCTAGGTCCATTTCAAGCACAGATGCAATGTTGATTATGCAATTCAATTTAAACTATACTATAAGAACTTTTTCCTTTACTTTTTACATTTGTTTTCCACTTTCCACTTGTTGGCCTAACTTAATTTGTCCCTTTAGGTGTGGTGGTGGCTGTGTTTGGCTTTGCCACAATAGTCCTAGTCTTCGTCCTAGCGTTCCTGTTTGGTATCAAAGGCCTTAGTGATTGCAGTTTCTGGTTGTCAGACACAATATCAGATCAAATGTGATGTATCGGGATATCTCATCCTCCTGGGTCAGTGAACTCTTCTTTCACATTTCTGCTCAGACACGCAGGGCCTAGATTTACGAGGTTGTGTTAACTAAGGAGTGTTCGTCTTTTCCTCCTGGTGAGTGCAGTAGTGATATGAAACACATCTAACCCTCAGTTTTAACATCCCCTACCTTGGGCAGTTCTATCTCCCTGTGCATGATCTGTTTGAATCCCAATCTGTTATTAACTAAATGTTTTAATTTTTTGTACACTTCAAGGTTTTGGATTTCTTATACTGTGTGTACTGCATTGCAAATGGGATCTAATTTTATTTTTTTATTAATATTGCCAACATTAAAACACAATTTGTGTCTCTGAATAAGCAGGATTCTTAAAACCTTTTTGTTTCTTGCAGCTTTTTAACAGAAAAATTGGAAATTTAAAATTGGTTCCTCACCAAATACTGATGAGACATTTTTTCCTGTTTCAAAAATCTACTGTCACAATTAGATATTTCTTAAGAAAAGCATAAGCAAGAAGTCAGCGCTGGTGTTCGATTTCACCCTTAAAATATCCACACTTTTGTTGTGTTTGGATTATATACTGTAAGGAACGAACAGAAACAAACACACGGGATTCAGAACTGTATACAATATTTATTGACAATGTAGTAATTCTTCTTGGTTTTATTCATAGTAAAGAAAGACTGGATTTTACAGGCTTATCTTTGAGAAGAAAAAAAAAAAAAAAGCCTGGGGTTTCGGGGAAGGTGGGGGGGGGGGGCCAAAGGGGTTCTCCCGGGGGGGGGGGGGGGGGGGGGGGGGGGGGGGGGGGGGTTGAAGCTGCTCGGAGTGAGGTCCGGGGACAGCGGGAGGCTAAGGCTTCTTCTGTGAGTGTGTGCAAACGTGCACTGTCACCAAGATGTGTCACGTCGGCTTTTACAATACCAGTTTATCCTTTCTCCCCAGAATAGACTGAAAAAAATCTTGTCTACTGAAAACCATTTCTCCACAAAGCCTCCATTTTCCAAATAAAAATAACAAAAAAAAATATTTCCATATAATCTGCAACCTTGTAAAATTTTCCACCACATATCATGAAAAGGATTTGACTAGCATACATATCATTGAATATTCAGCATCCCAGAGGACAGTGTAATCATTTGCTATTGTATAAATAGGAAATTATATGAAATATAAATTGGATTAACATTATTTTTCAAACAACAGTGAAAACATATTTTCCCTTTTGTTTATTTTTTTCTTTTACATGGAATATATAAGTAGAAAAATATATGCAACAAAAAAAGCGCTATGTTGTACAAACACATATCTAAAGTGTGGAACTAATGAAGCAGAACTTACTCGTTGGATACCAGTGTGCTATTGAAAACACATTAGTGTCTTACTGACGTTCACTCACAGCACACTCCCAGTTTCAAATACACAATATCATACCACATACAACGTTACTCTGAAGAGTTGGAATTATATCTTTATGCACTGGTAGGTAGCTTGAGACATTATTATAGCTGAGCTGAATTTAGTGTCTCTAAGATTGAACTGTACTGCTTTAAGAATAATGGCTGTATGCTGTGTGTATGTAGCAATGCAAAACAAATAGAGGATGCTTCTTTTTCTATTGTTACCAGGTTTTTAAAAAGGTGTGTTTATATTTGTGTGAATGGCGCTGACCTGAGATAGTTGAATTCTGACTTAAATTAAGAGGCATCGCCTGTCTCCACGTAAACCTCGGCTGTTTGACTGAGCGTCTGGTACGTTTAAATCGCCGTTGGTGCAAGAACTTGGTCAACTTTCGCAAACATGTCCCAGCGAATACATGTCGCAAAAGAATCAGCTACATTCATAAATGCATGTTTACATTTTGGCAAAAAAAAAAAAAAAGAGAAGACTTACTTTGGTGAACAGAGTGACCACCAAACCAAAAAAGTGATCAAGAGACATTTTAGAAGAGACTATTTACATCACATCATTCTCAAAACATTACAGTTTAAATAATACTAACAATGTCATTTGTCTTTTTTTATCATTATCTACAGGAAATGGACATTCCAATTTCTGAGAAAAAAAAAATCACATATGATATAGGCAGTGTCTATTTTCTTTTTTTTTCTATTCCTTTCTAGCAGCTTTTGGAAAATCATGACCCAGTGTTAAGTTTAACTCCATTTTCTTTAATATCCTTGTTCGTTATCCCTTTATTTCAGTTATTTCCTTTGTGATATCAGCTGTTCTCAGGCCCAAATACAT